TAGAGAAAAGGACAGCTCGTAGTTTTGGATCTGTCCTTAGCCACATTTTTTATGTGGGTTTCTTCTGCTGACCGGAAATGCATTTTACTTCCGGTGTYTTCCCGCGAAATCTTGAAATCACGTGACTTCGGTTTGCCGCGCCATGAACRTGACTCACGAGKTCGCACTGACACACATTGAACAGCTGYAGTGTTGATTTCAGCATGGCGACTGCTGCATCCATAGCTAGTTCTGCGAGCAGTGCTTATTCACCAAAGAAAGACACTGAACCGCTTTTATACAAGTTTAAAATAACGCTTATCAGCGATGARTTCAGCCCAGAAGGTGGAAGATGGCGACGAGTTGTTGTACCCGCGAATTTCTCGCTCTTGGAGTTCCACGTTGTGTTACAAGCTGTYTTTGGCTGGACAAACAGTCATATGCATCACTTCATGCGCAATGATGGAGAGTACATAGAATATATGGTCAAGGGGAGTATGCCAGACGRTATAGGCATGGAAACCAAAGATGAGCGCGTTTACAAGTTGTCAGACGTATTCAGTCATGAAAATCCATTTATGGAGTACGAGTATGACTTTGGAGAGAGTTGGGGACATGAGGTSGAGTTTGAAGGGGTCGTTGCACAAGACCCAAAGCTTGATTATCCAGCTTGCATAGAAGGAAAATGGGCTAATCGTATGGACGACCATCAAGACGAGGATCCCGACACCCGAGAACTYCTTCCTCAATTCAAAAAGAAGAAGTTTAGTTTGAGAGGSACTCAGMGAGAACTACGTGAAATCTTCAAGGGAARATGGCCSCTGAAAGTCGATAAYACTACAATTCCTKTGTGCTACCTTTGTCGTTTTCGTCTTTGCTCTGCCTGTAACGGAATGTGCTGCAACTATTGTTTAAAGGCTGCTGACCTTACACGCGAGTGACAAGATTGCTAAAAACAGAGGTGAATTTAACCACAAAGTTACTGTTCATTTGAATCCATTTGACATTTAAATTTTGCATTATTTGCAAGCATTGGATGCTGGAAAACATTGTATATTGTTGCTGTTAGCTAAAGTATTGAATGAAATTCATGATATATTGCAGATATTGATATATTATACAGAGTCGAGACTTTATATTAAAGAAAATAAAGCTAAATGATTATTGAGGTGGCTAGATCAGGGTGGGGCACAGGTCTATAACTGAACATTATTAGGTGTTCCATTAGTTTTGAATGGGTAGATCCAGGAGTTTGTTCAGGGAGTGATGCACAGGCAAGTCATAGCGTAGGAGACGCATTCATTATACATGTATCAGTGAAACAAGTTAATTAACAAAATCTAATATTCATAATTAGTGCAATTTTGTAMAATTTCTAGCAACAAAGCGTTTCACAAATATAATGAATTCATTTTTAAGTGCACACAATAAAGGGTACAAAAATCCAGAAAGAGGAATCTGGCTAGGCCCACACCTACTAGATCCAACAAAGCTTTGGACACTGTTATGCTGCCCATTTTAGGTGTTGAATCTCGCATGTGCCCAAATCAATGCAAATAAAATAAAATCATTTATGTTCACATTGGATTTGGCCTGCATCTAGGGCATCACTACTCAACCAAGACCCCTGCCCCCATTCAACACTGTAGGACCTCCTCCCAGAATATTACTACTCCATGCTGAGAGGGTATGGGGTATGAGTTTAACCACCAGYACCAGTCCATGCATGTCTTCTACTCGGTACATATGAGCATTGGGYGAACTAGCCATTTTTGATAATTCCTCAATTCCTTCAAGATATTCCCCAACAGCAATCACAAACACCTCAATTCCTGATTGTCTTAATATTGATGCCTTTTCTAATGTCAAATGCTTMTTGATGTTAGATTGACCATCTGTGACAATAAGAACTCTTCTAAAGCTTCCTTCTCGAGCTCCATAACTTTGATCMACAAACATTTYATTGCACATTTCCAATGCATGCTGGGTATTGGTTTTCCCACCAYTTCTCTTGAGCGTGCGCAGTTTTTGAGCGGCTTTCTCACTTGTGGTAAAGTTAAGGGTGATGGTTCCAGTAGTTGCTATGGTAATTACACCATGTCTCGATGCTGCTTTTGATTTTTGTATCATTTGTTCAATGGCTTGGATTCCTCTCTTGAATTCTAACTCGCTGATCGAGCTGGATGAATCAATGATGTAAACAACGTCAAAGAAATTGTACAATTGTCTTTTAGTCCGGTATGGAATTTTAACTGGATCCTCTTTTTCCAGATCTAGAAAATGTTTTTTCAACTTTTTAGCTGTTTCTTCCGGTGAAGGGATGCGCTTAAAATCTGTATAGACAAAATAGATGATACGTTATAAGTGTTTTGTCAGAAAGTTCTGTACAATAATAAAGAAAGTAGCTAGCAGCTTTAAACTACATGCATGTAATGACTAATCGATATGTAATGAGGTCTGATAGGTCATTCAGCACGCGTTCCTGCTGGCTAATAGGCGCGTAAAAAGATGGTGCATGCAATTTGCGCAATTTTTCTTTACAGCCTTTCTGCCTTTTCCAAGAGCTTTTTCAAATAAAGTCGGCTGCGATAACGACTGGATCATCACTAAAAATTAATTTTGAAAAATCCATCACACCCGTATATTCACCGCAAGACATTGATCTTAAAACCAAAACTCCAACTAGTCCTTGACCTATTCTTTACATTACCAATGCACAGAAGATCAATTAAGTGCTGTAACTGTCAACGTACCCGCGCTTTTGAAAATCAGTTTCTTTCCGTAACAAAAGTTTGTGCTTTCACTAAGCGCAATGCCTACTGAGTACGTAAGCGCTAGATCTCATAAAAAGTACAAGGAAGCGCCGAGCATTGTTAATATGACAAACACAGGATGTCTGACTGCGCATATCAGTAAGGACAGTAAGTGCCTTGTATTTACGTCATTCAAGATCTTGATAGGTATTTTTGGGAGATTTAAGCGTATTTGGAGTRCCAGAAATACTGTCGTTGTAAATGCTTCATAATAACGTCTATTTTTCGTGCAATTCAAGCAAAGAATGTTAGCGTGATAATAATGTAAGTTTTAGACACAACATGAAGTCCCTGCAGTAGTGAGTTAACGTCTATAAAGAGAGACCTAACGTAGAATCATCGTTAATTTCACAGTGTGATAGTCTAGTACATCATGAGAACGTGGTGGGTCGTGTACTAGCTGTACTTGACCTTGTGCTGTTCTAAATATTGTGCGCCGTAAGTGCGCTTCACTTTTGCATCTTATTTACTTATTATTCAGGGACCGCGGAGATGGAAAGGAAAAGAAAAGGGGTGGGGGAGGGGTTAGCCCCTGCACTCTACGTTGTAATTCCCCACCCATGTTTCTCGAGATTCGTTTAAAATGAATTCTAAACACTCCCACCTCTTTCACTTTGCACTATACTCTCCCCGCTCTTTGATCAGGTAGATTCCAGTTGTTAAGAATATAAAATACCATGCAAGATTATATCATATGAGCTGTGTTTGAGCAGCTTGATAAGCGATCCCTTGAAATTCTGTGGGCACCGATCAGTTACTTTGTTATCATTGACATAATTTGAGGTCAAAAGGTAAGATAAAAGATATACTATCATGAAAAAACGTTTGAATTGTCGGCCATATTGGTTTTCCTTTTGTGATTGTTGTTTGCTTTTGTCTATTTGGATAGTATATTTGCTTGACTCAATTCGGCGCCTTTTCCACCTTATGATCCATAAACGTAACTTTGACGTAATGCGCAACTTGAAAAAACACAGTCGTCGACTTCTAGACATGAACCTTTTTAGTTAAGAGCCATCAATCCACATGCGTGTCATTGCGGATCACCAGTAAGATGTTTGAACGGCTGTGGTACTTCATTATGTGTTTGATAGACGTTGTAAAGAAGTACAGAAACTAGCGTTAATGAGTTACGGAAACGCAGAAAGCCTCCAGGCGTTCATTAAAGCGATTAATGGATCGCATGAAGAGAATAATGGTTCGATTAGCTCATTATAATACATTGTTATTATAAAATAGTCACGGAATAGTAATGATTTTGAAGCGCGTCTTTGTGTGCGATTACGCGCGTGTTTAWGCTTTGTTTTACGTATTCTGTTGCGCTTTACGACTTTTTCGTTTACTTGTTCTCTGCTTCGACCCGGTAATCCGTTCCGCATGTCCAAACTCGCGATCGTAGGCTTTAATTTTTTTGTTCTGTTTTTCTCTCTTGGTGGGCTGAATATTTCATGTTCCTATCTTCAGTATATGCTTGGGGCTTGTGTATAAGACTTTCATCAATATCTTTTTTTTAGTTTTCGTCTTCAGTTTTTGACTATCACCGGTTTTCGAAGGCATCATGATAATGTCATTTCCTTGGCGAAGTCAGAACATCATGCACCCTGTCTGTAATACTAGTAATTGATTTTTGAATTGAAAGTTATTTWGCGATTATTTTCTAGTCAAAACAACATAGGATTACCAAGGGATCGCATTCGAATTCAGTCATAAACCTTACTACTTCAGATAAGATCCAGAAGCACTACTATAGTACGGCTAGCTCTTCAAACGTCTATAGCAAATCATAGTTCCAGGACAATTGTACAATGTTGGAGGTATAATCCAGGCTCTTCATATAAGTGTTTTCTTGCCAGAAATTCTAAAATGGGATGGGGGCATGACATAATTTCTCTATACCATTTATCCTTAACACACTCCCAGTGTTATGACAAGTTAGTGTGATAAATAATGAAGGAAAAGTGGTGTTGATCCGATTTAAATAACTGCAGGGCGCACAAGAAAAACTTACGAATCTCGTTAAAATGCACGATAAGAAAACTAGTCGAGGTCTCACCTTCTTTTGAAGTAACACAACTGCATGGTTTGAAAACACAGCACAGAATGTAGAGCGTCCAAACGCAATAAGATATTGACATCTTGGCTGTTGGCTGGTCTGTGCGCTACTGGAAGGTAAGAGACAACATGTCCCTGTATCGTCTAACTGTTTATATGCACAATCCCGTCATATGATATTTTCAACACTGACATTAATAGTGCTAGCAGTTCCATGGAATACAATAGTTTAAAACTGATGACAAATCAATGACCTCACAACGAAAGATTAGAAGAGAAATGTCAACAACGAGACATAGGAAAAAAAAAACGCGTGTGAAGAAGATTTTTCGTTAAGCCTCAAGGCAGGTTCTTATATCAATGGTACTTAAACCTAAAAAAAGGCACTGTATTTAGGTMGTCATTTTCTTCTCTTAGCTTCTTATTTTTGGTAAAAGAAAAAAGTACTTGTATTGGTGGGTGTGGCTTGTGGCTACTGCATTTCATTTCCAAGAAAATAATTGGGACAATTTGCACCTACATTGAGATTCCAACTTGGACAACTTGCATGATGGATTCTTAAAGTGCATATGAACCATTTTAGAAAATCATTTTTACTGAAAAGGCAAATAKGATGCTAATCATTGTTTTGAAGAAGAAAAAGTATTTGAATTCTATTTTCTGATTTAAAGGCATTGAAAATTGAAAATGCTAATRATGTGACGTCAAGGGAGGCTTCATTAAATATACGAACTTTGAAGGAGTCGCTTATCTGTTATTCCACGAGGGACCGGTCTTGCTGTGTTCTTCTCAGGCCTTTTTGACAAATAAACATGAGTTTTCATATATTTAATTCTGTGGTGCACATTTACCGCTATCGTTTTTTTGCATCCCTACTACTATTTATAAATCTATCAGTCACGTAAATCCATTCGATRTCACAAAAGCTAACGAGCCGTCCTTTGAGGGAGGTCAAAAATGAAGACCACCCCCTCCTCCCACTCTAAAAACTGCTCCACCGTCTGGCCAATGCGCTCTCTCTAGGGGAGGGTATAGGGTTTTCTTCAGGGAGGTACGTACAGCAATCAGGAGGGGTGCACTCCACAGAATTGATCAAGGAGACCAAAATGAAAGGTACCGGATCTTAGTGGATGTTTATCCCCCAGAGCCCACGGGATTGACCTGCCCCCGCTCTCAAGTAAAGGTCTCATGTGAAGATTTTAAAAAAAGGATGCAGAATTTTATGTCAAAAGAAACAAGGTTGAGTGATCGCACTTAATCCGTACAACTGTATATAATCTAAGTAGTACTAATTTGTACTATAAGTGGACCTGAAGACAGTATTGAATGCTTCATTTGTATCAATTCAATTTAATTTTAACTGTACAGTTGCACAGTTTAAGTGCGATTACTCTATGCTCAAATGGACAACTAATAACACAACTGGAGAAACAGTTCTGTTTATTCAACAATCCTATTTCAATTCCTATATACATGGCTATGACAGCCACAATGATTCTAATCTAACAGCCAGCACTGCAAAGCTGGTGAATGTCTTGATGTTGAAGACACGAAATGATTGATAATAGTTTGGCAGCCAAGTATTTAATGTAAGATATAGAATGTTATATACAAAGTCATAACACTTAAAAAAAATAGAAATAAGGAGCAATCTAAATCTTATATAATTGAATAATAAGAAAACATAACAATAGTGATTTTGTTGACAGTGCAAGAAATGCGAAAGTAATAGTCARTGAAAGACTAAAGCTAATTTAGTCCAAATGATTCTAAATCTCTCTAAGATTTATCAAATGCCATTCTATATGCAGTATTTTAAGGAAAAAAATTACAATAGGATAATTTTCCAATGATCAAAATAAATACATGTCATTGTTAATATAATGAATTGGATTAGCACTAGTAAAATATACAAAAATTGGATTTGTAAGAAGATCTTGTTTTGTTTTTACTATTTTATATTTACATCAATTTAGTTAGAATATTTTTCTGATCTGGGAAGATTTTTGACTGCCAAATTAACTCAATCAAGACAAAAATACATCAATTTATTTAAATGACATAATGAACAGAAGAAATGAAGTCCAAACATTTGAAACAACAGTTCTAGAATGATGACATTATTCTAGAATCATTTATCATAACATGTTGCACATTAACTTAACCTTGAGCAAAAGGCAAAGTATCCATCAATAACACATGCACACATTGCCTATTTTAACATAAAACACTGCAATAATCACATTCTAYCTGCACATACAGCATACCTTTTAGTAGTGCTTTACTAAAATTAATGATAGGGAACAATAGTTTAAAACTTCTCTACAAATATCGCCTTTTTTGAACTTCATTTCTTGGACACGAAGCAATCCTCCTAATTAATTGCGTTGTTTTTTGGTATATTTTTTTCAAGCTTTGTGATGTTTTTGTGTGTTTTTAGGAGTATTGTTTTGACTCACACAGTAACTTATTTACACCCCAACAACACATGTACAGCTAGGTTATGCCTTACACCAGTCACTCAGTACACAGCACAAGGTCACTGGTTAACAAGGCATACACTGAMATTGTTAGATTTCCATCTGAAATTGGTGCTCATCCTCCTCTGAAATTAGATAACAAATAAACTAATTAATAGAGAAAAAGTAAAACTTTTATTGGCTAGAAAATGGATTGTCAAATAAATGAATGATTGAAAGGAATAAATGAATAAACAAATGACCAAATGAATGAAAGAATGGTTGAGTGAAAAAATATATGAATAACTAAAAAAAAATGAAATAAATATTGCATGAAAACATRGGGAGTGAAATTCAAGAGAGAATAATCAACTTATTAAAAACCTTAATAACAATACTTGCTCTTATTACTCAGAATAAAGAATAACACATTTAAGTTACGACATTTCAAAGTCATCTTGACTTCATTTTCAAGTATTTTAATAAGATTCAAATTCTGTACTTATATGTCGTATAACAACAATAGCAAGAAAAACAATATGTCAAATATATGCTCTTATTAAGAATGTTTAAACTTCAGGATAATAATACAACACTTGAAAGAACCAATAACTCACCTGCTATAGGTTTGGGCTCTGATTCAGCCTTTCTTTGCTCTTCAACTTTAGTATTCTCTGCACAAGTCACACCAGGGATGACTGGGAGGTCCACTGGGGGAGTCTTGGCTAACGGTGAATTTCTCAACTCCATTAAGAACTTGCGCTCATAAATTATACGCGTCCCTATAGCAGAGAAATATTCCTTAGCTTTGATCACTGTTGCTATTTTCACAAATCAAAAGTTCTATAGTATTTTGGGGTAAAAAAAATTAGCCCACAAAGAAGTTCAATTGTTTGATCTCTTAAATTGTATATTTCACTGTAATTATGTTTTTCCGTAGTTTTCCAAACCAACTGGTCATTTAAGTTCTTAGTGAAAAAGCAATTAAACCTATGTTAACAGCTAATCTCTTTGTCCTTACATTGTACATAAGTTTATTTACTCAAAATAAAAATTTTAGGTGCTTTTCTATGAAATAACTGGYGCTAAAAATGTAGCTTACAATCTATGATTGCAGCTTAGGTGTTGATGGTGTAGCTCTTCATAGTATTACTGAATCTCATTTAAGTTCTGAATTTATAAAAATGAAATCATGTGCCACCTATAGATCTTTAAATAAAAATAAGCTTAATTTAGTCAAAAATCAAACACAAGAAATTTTAACACTTCATCAAAAATATCCCAAATGAATTAACATTAATTTATTCTAATGGCAAAATTCGTGTAAACAGCAACGCAATTTAACAAGTATAACCCTATTCTGATTGGATAAATAGACAATAGGGGGATCACGTTGAATYCTGATCCTTGCCACCCCCAACACGTGTTTRTGTGTTTACATACAAAACCAAAACATGCATGGCAGGAATCTGCGTTTATGCAACGTCTTGGCTCCGTCAAAAACGCTCACGTAGCAAAAATAACCTAGAAAAMGGGACTTTCCCTAACAAAAACCCCTTTATCTGCAACAACGTCATTTCCAGCCGAGAAACTGCGCAGTAAGCTTATGTCCAAAGCAATGACGCACTTTCGAGTAATGTACATAAATTTGTACATTCAATATTAAAAGCCACAAATTGGAMTATCGCCAAAACATTCGTGATTGCATACTTTCAAAACGGACTTTTTGATTTTCAAGGTTCGAACTATATCTGTGATAWAAAATATAGATATTTCTGTGRGTTTCTGCGAGCGCAGTATGCGAAAACTAAAGCAGAACGCGTTGCAAAACGAAGTTATGACGCATTTTTCTAAAGTGGTCTTCGATTCGCAAAAGAGCTAAGTATTTWGCACAAAAATAAAAGTAACTACGTAGATTTAACGTTAATGATKGCTGGAGTAAAAGCGATGATAYTTMAGTATATTTTGCTCCCTTGTGTGCATCTTCCTTGAAAATACTCAGCGCAACTATGTTTGTTTGGGTAATTCAGAGCTYCCAAAACAGCCGATATTTCCAGTTGAGAGCCCAAAACGTTAGGCAATGAGCTTGAAGGTTTGAAAAGCTAGAAATTCCTGTCCTTGAAGTAAACTAGCTTTGCTTAGCGACCTGGGATAAGAGAAAAGAACCTTACCTCCGGGAGTAGTGCTATATATCGTTCCTCCAGGGGTTGTGCTATAGTCAACGGGCATATGCGATGGATCGTGTACTGGAATACGTCTGGAAGGGATTGCCCTTGATAGAGGAGATCGGCTTGCAGTGTCTAGTCCATTCATGGTGTATAAAATTCTGTGATAGCGGAGACAATACGTTCTAAACAAGCCTTAGATGTTCAACACGTCCTCACCTCGTGATGATCGCCTTCCAGCAACCTTACCATCACAATGCTACAGCGCATGCTCGATTTGCTGAATTCTTGCGTCATACAAAACACGTGATTTCCGGTCTAAAATAACCCTGACCTTCTTCTTCGAAAATGCGTACCTTTCGACTCAAATTTCAGTTCTCTGTTTTCGACTATGTCGTAGATTTTAGTATTACGGACAGCTCTTTCTGAAAGACCTTTTTATTTTGTTTTTCATGAGCTTTATAAGGCGAAACGATGGAGTGGGAGCGCTCTTTTTTGGTCGCGTGGCGAATGTAAGATCACACGTAGTGATTGGACATTTCTGCACGTAATCTATTTCTATTTCTTGGGGGGAGGGGCAAAGTATATTTTTGGTTTCGTTTTCCAAGCACAGTTTCGAAGGCAGATGACACTATATGACAAAATAAAAGTGTAGACATGACTTGAAATACATCTTGAAATACAGATTTCATTGCAGGCAGAAGTCAAAATACCGGAAATGCAATAATAGTTTTCCGCTTAAGATGAAGTCCGCCATAGGKTGTCCCTCCGAAGGGATTTTCCCGCCTTTTTCGCGACATATAAAACGGATAAGTATTTATTTTTGAACCGAAACTGTTCAATAAAATGGTACATATATAGTATTGACGTTGTCAAAATCCAGTAACTGCTAGATAAGAAGGAACAGAAGTACCGAATACAAAAATAACCTTTATAGACACTTAACTGCTGTTATGTAACGAGTATGAAAAACAATAATATTTGTATCACGCAATATGAAAATCAACCACATAAACTGAAATCATTAAATTAAAACTCTTAAATTCGTATGTTTCGGCATACTGATTTCCAAATTCTCAATTATGTACTCTTGCATTCCTTTCATTTCGCTAATTAAATCAAATCATTTCCCGTTCCGTTTTTATATGGCCACGTCCCTCTCGTAGTGTTTGAATGATTTTTTCCTCTTTTTTCCTTTCTTTTTCAAAAGGGAGTCCCTTTTTTATGCGTTCATTCCCGTTATTTAAGCTTTTAAGCTTCGTTTGTTCACTCTTTCATTCTGTGTTTGTGATCACGATGAGTAAACTAGCTCTAGCATTATTTTGCAGACAATGATCCTAGACTTTGGACTCGTCAGTAAAGGTGAGCTAATATATATAGTTTTGTTTAGACAGTTGAATATTGTCATTAATAGATGCGTGATGCCTTTTGTTATCATGCTACATACGTGCGCATTTTATCCAGTATCTAAGATCATATATTGATCCATTGTTATATCTCTTCAAACAGAACAACATAGTCCACGCAAAGTTATTGACGGCAACTTTTACATCAGTTTTCAAAATTAATTCTTAAATAAGTAACCATCCGCTGATTTGCCATGAATCATACTTCCTCATGCCCTAAGGCCACGTCTGTGCTAAAACCAAGAATACATTACTAGTAATGAGAGATAGCTGTTTTCATATATGTTACCATGACGACAAAAGGTCGGGACTTTTCGGTCGTTATGGTTACCTATTGTAGTCCCAGTTATCGAAAAGAACCATTCTATATGGTGCGTGAATTAGAGCAAAGTTACTTTATCACCAAATGTAGATCTTTTACAATTATCTTCATTTGTGATGTTTCTCCATCTACAGCTCTCTGAGTGTGCTATAAATAATTCATGCACACGTTCTTCACAAGCTTACTGTAGTAGCATTGTCTACACATGTCAGACTGACTATAAGTGTTCATAYATTAATAAGATACAAATGGTTTTCCGGACGCGAATAAACAAWGGCTATGATATAAATAAGGAAATATTGGACACACCCATTGAAGAAATTTACATTCACGACACACACCCACTGTTTTGCTTTCGATTTCGATAACTAGACGCTCTTAGAGCGTGAAGTCGGGCTAGCTATTTTGAAAATTAAGAAAGATTTTTAAAGAAAGATATTTACTCCGGGCTCAATATTTGTAGCATTTTGACGTCGTTACACCACTGAGCTGTTAGAAAAGAATATCGCGGCGCATGAATAAACAATTAGAATTATGAACAATAATTAATATAAAAAAAACTAGCGAAAGTAACGCATTCTTGCTTTCACTATGTATAAGAAGTAAAAAAAATAGGCATGTGACTCAGGCCATTAAGAGATCTAGTAAACTTAGAATACACAATCTTCAGTATACAATGTTTTCTGAATCATCTGTATTGTCTGTATACGCTGCAAGGAACTGGAAGCATCACGTGGCGATCTACCATTATGTTAATTGCCTATAAATATACACCAGGCGTCGATTCCCAGGGGCCAAGGAACCTATTGTGATGGTTTACTCAAGTTTAATGGGTTACAAAATAGCAATTCTAAATTGAATTGCTTTCCTTGGAAGTGGCTTGACCACAACACGGACCTGACAAAATCACTCTGAAACCATGATAAAAACTCCGTTTGAACKGTGATAGAAAGATCCACAACGCWTTTCACTCTTGGAATGCACAAGATCTCAGTATAGTCCCGGAATTTTGTTCAATATTTAAAAAAATGTCTTTAGTTAATTAAAGCTAATTAAAGATAATTTACTGTATTTAGGTTCAGGTATTCTTCCTTTTGACCAAATTTCGTTSACAATTCAAAGCTTCATCACCGCTCGGCATAGTATACAATCGACGTGGCACTTMGATTTTTCCAGAGACGAGAAAAATKYTAAGTGCCACGTCGATTGTATACTATGCCGAGCGGTGATGAAGCTTTGAATTGYCAACGAAATTTGRTCAAAAGGGAGAATACCTGAAGCTAAATACAGCAAAGTGTCTTTGATTAGACTAGATTTATTTTAGTCCTTTATTTTGACTCCCGGACATCTAATTTTTCACAAAAAATTAGATGTCCGGGAGTCAAAAAAATTTAATAAAATAAATCTAGTCTAATCAAAGACACTTTGCTGTATTTAGGTTCAGGTATTCTCCCTTTTSACCAAATTTCGTTGACAATTCAAAGCTTCATCACCGCTCGGCATAGTGTACAATCGACGTGGCACTTAACATTTTTCTCCTCAAAGCTATTATCCCGTTGAGTCGCCTTAAACGCTAGTCTTATCTTATTTGAAATCGTACTTTATCTAACCCGATCTCATGTTAATGTTCATAATGTCTCATAAATCATTGGGACTAAATAAAGAGTCCATACGCGATTATTGCATTTCCAATTCTAGAACGAAAATTCCTCGCTTTATTTACGCCTGGCATACTATAATCAAGGTACGCCAACGAACTCGATTGCAATTCCACACCCCCTCCCCTTGCTCATCTCTCGCCCTCTCCCTCTCGCTACTGGAACGTCGTGCAAGTACTACATATGATAATTTTTGAGCTGCGCATTGATTGGCTGGCTGCTCCCTAAGGATTATGGTGRCGTCATATATTAGCATAGAACTTCGCCGAATAGACTATCCCGATTAGATGTTCGTTATCTAAGTGTCTTCATAGTACGATGGTCTAAGAGGTTAGCTAAAGGTATGCTCTAGTGGGCGGCTACCCCCTCACTCCCTGGCCTTTTGGTTAAGACTWAGTTTTATGTTCACTCGGGATAGCGTGGAAGGGCCGAAATCTCTAACCGTAACGTAAGCCGATTCGCCGCCTCAGCTTCATAGAATGTCTCGGGGGAATCGTCCCATCTTTTTAGTTTTTTATTTTCATAATTTCTTATGTATTCAGGGGGGGGTACATCTTCGCCTGAAGTGAAAGTTCTGAGTTCGAGTCCTGCTTCTGGAATTTCTCTTTTTTTTCGCTTGTTTATTGTTTCTTTTTCGCTTCTTTCTTGTTTTCTTTTCTTCTCTTTCTTTTCTTTTCTGTTGTTACTTCTTTTGTTTTTCTCTACAGATTTTCTCTTTTCGCAACTTTAAAAACATATTAACGACTCGCAAGGAACGCCTGCTACAAGTGGATGGTTCGGTCACTAATCGATGACATAGTGACGAGAGGCGCCATAGGGACTTTCGTCACGAAAATTCTACATCGCCATAATTTACTTTTATATATAATCATATGATAGACAGAATATTACATCATAATCTTATCGAATAGTGTATGCAGTTACTACATCTGAAACATCGGACGTATTTTATACTTTATGCAAACGTGTGAAACTTTGTACAGAAATTGTTTTATTATACAATTAAAATATTGCAAGATAAAGTTATCAATTGTTCGGGATATGACAAGCGCAGTATCACTCTCATGATATGAAAAAAGAACTTCCAATTTCGTAGAGCACATGCGCAGTATTTGACTCTATAGGAACGAATTCAATCTCGTACCCAGAGCCGCCGTTCCTCTTGGTCAGCGCCGAGAAAGAGGAACGGCGGCTCTGGGTACGAGATTGGAATTGGGTACAATTCTGTCTGCAAGGGTGCTTTCCAGAACTGGCCGGCCAGTCCACTCTATTTAGAGGTATATTATGCTTTTTGGCGACATTTTTCAGTCATTTCGTGGTTTTCTATAGAATAATGGATAGAATTTGAAAATTTGAATTTCCCGACTAAATAGGAATGATATATAATGACATTTTCTCTGGGTCTGGCCAGCGGTCTGGCCAGCCAGTTCTGACAAATGGTAAGCGCCCCAACTATGACATTCTGGTTACCGGTATATGATTTTGATATTCTTTCTTGATCGGCCATCTTGGATTTTGAAGCAAGCCACCATGCGCCTGCAAGYCACGTAGCTYTTTCAAAATTTTGTATCGTATAACAAGCACTCGATCAATATAATTCTGATGAATATTATATTTTACGATAGTTGTTTTTATTGAATTAAATTTTCTTAGAATAGAATGCAAAGCAGGAACATCGCCTTGCGCTATGTACAAAAATTTATATAAAATTAAATTAAAAAATAATTAAATAATGTATTTTTTGATAAAATTTCTTAAATTAAACTCATTAATTTATTCGAGGAGCAATTCTATTATTGACTTTCATATGAAGAGTGCCAATATAGAAAGCATAATACGAATTACGTGTCGGCAATGCAAACGCGCGAGCATGAGGTCAAAAATGGAAAAGGAAAGGCTCCCTTTCAATTCTCTTTAACGACCGCCATTTTGAACAAAAGTCGACGAGATRGCCCTGGGGATGAAGTTACTTTCTCAAGTTTAGCTTGCATGCGCGTGCGCAACTATTTACATGGCCTAATATAAAATTAAAGAAGATTTCTTTAAAAATTCTCGTCCCATCCTGACAGGTCATCTGGTGGTATATCCATATCTTTAGAGTAAACATCAAAATTGGAACAGTCTGTATTGCTTTCGATCTGGGGATTAAAAGCATGTGCATATTATGAGCCGAAGACCATGGACGGACAGAAAAACGGRCGAATGGATTTATAAATGGGAAATACATGAATAGAAGGAGAGAGCGAAGGAYGAAATGAATTAATGTGAATTAATGAATCCAATGATAGTTAGATGGATTAATAGAAACGCTAATATTTATTGATTATTTATTGATGGATTAATAATTGAGAGTAAAACCTAGTACTCCATACCTTGGGTTTAATAGGAGGTTCTAAAGTTCTGTCCACTAATGCCTGCCAATGAAATCCTTGAAACCACCTGCGACCAAACATCAATTTAGAAAATTGCAAAATACTAAAAGGTCCAAGGACCTTTTCAAAGGGCGAACGAGCGCAAAATCAAGTCCTTGTATGCACGTTCTGTGTTTTGTTCAGATACATCGTTACAAATTACTCATAAAAGTAGGTGATTTTACGTAAAACCTGTTATTGGGCTCCCTGTAGATCTACTCACTTGTGCTTTTTGATGTCACTTAGTCCATCCTTCTGGTAYCCAAGCCTCTCGACCGGGTTATCTCGACAGAGTCTCTTGATAAGATTTTGGGGATTTCTGCCTATTCGTCGAGGGAACTCCACCATGTCGAGACCTCTTAAAATTATATTGTAGGTTTTCATAGGATCTGACCCAGAAAATGGAGGGCTGAAAAACGTTTGCAGAAAAAAAGAATCAGTAGTTGGTTAACATGATGCTATAGTGTCCTGTGGAACGTCTATTACGGACACTGTAAGGCTGTGGACAAGAAAGTGTCCGCAATATAGAGGTTTCCATTATAAAGAGGTGTGCTTGAATAGAGTTTTCTGTATTAGGGGTGTCCGTACTATGGAAGTATTCGTAATACCGGGGTCTTTGTTGATAGAGGTATAGTACTAATGCGTCCGTAATGCAGAGGTTTTTTTAGTTTACCTTCCCGTCAACAGCTCAAAGATGAGTATTCCTAAGGACCAGTAGTCGGCGGAGAGATCGTGGCCCTGGAAAAGGTCGTAAACGATAAACAGTTAGTAGACTGTTTAGGTGGCTGTTTACCAGCGTGTATTCTGTCTTCGTTATCTTCACAACCTACATACCTTGTTCAGGATGATTTCTGGTGCGACATATTCAGGTGTACCACAAAAAGTCCATGTTTTACGACCACCAAAGCCGACTTTCTTTGCGAAACCAAAATCAACCTAAATTGAAAATAAAAAACATCAAAATTTCTACCAGAAAATACAGTTTTGCTTATTTCATCTTTTCTTTTCTCTCGTAAGAATGCCACACTCACCAATTTAACATATCCTCGACTGTCCAAGAGAAGATTTTCGGGCTGCAACACAAACGAAAAATCGTTAAAATCGGCAATTCCAAAACTCCAAACCAGACTCTATGTGGTCACCGGTATTACATGGTTATTGATAAATTATGGCTCCTCCATCCGGCCACTAACCAGATAGCAGTTAAGGCTGCACTTTGCAATATGATTGGTTAAAGATTGTAGCAAGCCTATGTAATATACCTTTAGGTCTCTATAGACGATTCCTTTACCATGTAGGTAATCAAAAGCTTCTACGACACAAGCAATACAGAAACGAGCAGTGATGTCATCGAAGCTACTCCTGAATGACAATCAAAGAAAACAGTTAAGACTGATGATTACGTCTTTCTTAAAATTTACGAAAGATATCGTGCGCAGTTGAACGTATCTGATAGGTAATTGCTGCAACGCCATAGAGCGGATTTCGTATGAGTGGGAATCGGACGGTACGGTGACCGTAATCGTACTGTAACCAAATTCTAGTGCCCCATTGGTTCACCAAAATTGTGCAGGCCAGGTCCGGTAACTGTGCGGTAACCATGCGGTAACAGTGTCCCACTCATACGAAATCGGCTCTATTGTGCAGCAAAACATGATGGTAGTTGTAGTCCTTGTACGATCTCAAAAGAGCGTTGCTGCACATTGCCTTGAAAAAGAGCCAAATAGCAAACTTTCTATGCTTACCAGTCTCTTAAAATTGTCCACAGCTCCCCACCAAGACAAGCTTCTAATAACATATAAACGTATTTCCTGTCCTTGAATGTCCGGAAAATTCTACATTAAGACATCCATATATGTCAGTAAGATACCATATTTGGTAAACATATGAATTTAAATAGTTGTAAGCAAACGTTTCTGCAAACCTGCAAATAAACGGTGAATTGCATTCCATCAATATTCTCTTCTCTGAGTAGACATGTTCTTGTTGTTTAGTTTCAACAATGTGTTTTTTCTTCAAGCACTTCAAGGCGTAGGTGCTTTTGTCTTTGACGTTCTGGACCTAATACAAGCCAACACACACATAAACATCTGAAAAGGCCTTAAGTCGTCGCTTAAGCTGGTTCGTTTCCGTACCATTTCTATGTATTGTTTTTCTCTGTCCTCACTCAAAGTAAAGAAAAACAATGTAAAACGCTACAAAAACTCATCAATGTACACAATCCATAAGAAAAGTGAAGCATTGGGAATGTGTGCACAGGGTTATCACTGCCATATCATTTGGTAATATAATTTCTACATTTTCCTTACCAGTTCTACTCGGCCAAACCCACCAGTGCCAAGTGTAGATATAACCTCAAGCTCTTCTAGAGTCAAGTCTTCAAATTTCTTAGAAACTTTCTTCTCTTGGAATACTCTGGATTGATCTTCATCCTCGGGAACGTATCTACACAAAACATTGAACAAAAAAATATAGTAAATCATTCCATATGACAATGCTTTGTAAAAGATGAACATCGTTTTCCTTAAGTAATGAAGCTTATGATATTCTATTCTAAAAACGCTGCATTTTTGCGAATAGTGGATTTCTGAGATGCGCGTTCGCTTTCAAATGAATCGTAGGTGCGCGCTTGAAAACGGAGAATAATCTTTGTGCACAAAGTATAAGCAATTTTCGCTGGAAGATTTCCCACAAATACGCGCTCGCCTAAAAGATATTTGTCTATGCGACCGTGCATCTCGGAAATCGTCTATTATCAGTCACACAATAGTCACATTCTTTGTAACGGAGTAAGACTAGGGCGCAGCATTAATTTAGTGCTAGTCCCAGGACCCACCTTCTGGCACCTCGTTCTTCATCACCATAGTCCCTCTGTCTCAACTCATTGATGTTCCCAATCAGTGTCTTGAATGCTCTAGAATAATATCAAAAAATCAACAAAGAGAAAACAATAATAATTTAGATACATCATGCTACTTACGCACGATCAATTACCAAGCATTCAACTCCTGATCCTTCAGAAATAACGCTTGCTGTGCGTCTGTCCTCGCTGAAATAAAATGAGAAAACTGTAAAGAAATAAATAGATAAACGAATGGATGGGTGGGAAAATAGAGGGAAATATTGACGAAAGGATAGAGTGAAGTCATTAAACCCGAAAAACCAAATTTCAAATTTCAAATTTCAAACGATGCAAATAGAGCATACAAAGGTGTATTAGTGTAACATCTATTTCACAGGTTTTCTTTTACTTTACTTTAAGTATGAATGAATAAATGGGAGAAAAGAATATAATGGTGGATATATTCTACTGGTTATATAAAAGTATGGATGGGCAGATAAACAGATGAATAGATAGACAAATAGATTTATCAAAGTGAATATATTAATATATCATCAATCTCATATAATTCATCTAATTGCAACCTGATATTCAAAAACAGACACATGATAAAACTTAACAGAAAATTCACATCATGTTGAATTTAATGCATTCAGGTTTATTTCGCGTAGACTAAAATTCCCCCTATGAGGTGTAGGCTAGGGATCACTAGCAGTTTGCTAAACACAGCGGGCGACATAAAATCACAATATGTGAGCTCGCCTTTTTAATTTCCTTACGAGTTGCTCATCTAAGTTAACTCCAGAAGCCATGAGATCATCGAAGCAATCTGATATTGGCCTGTGTTGCAGCAAGATGATTAGTGCTTGTGCACTGTCATGGTAAGTGTTGTGTGACATGAATGACGTGTTGTGTGACATAGTGTGTTGTGTGTTACCTAAGAAGGGCTTTTTCACCAAAGTAATCTCCCTTCTTGAGCATACGAATTTCTTTGGGTTTATCATGACCTGCAATTCTTTGTGTTACTCGTGCCTAAAGGATAAAGACAAATATAGCCAATAAATCAAAAGGAAAAGCAAACGTTATTACTTCCCAAAAGCTACTCCTTTTTAATGGATTTCCTGTGGAAAATAAGGAAAGCGAAACTGGATCCAAAAATGATCAAGACCTGCTCCAGTACTTCTCTATCCTTGTAACAACAGGTATCCCAAAATGATTTCAGGAGTGGCCTTCGGAGAAGGTGATTGTATATCAATGCACTTACCGTTCCTCTACTGATGATGTAAAATGTGTCTCCTCTCTCTCCCTCCCTGATGATGTAATCACCAGCATGGTAGAAGTCCTGCAAAATATTGACCAATCACATGGTGTGTTACAATGATGAGACTGGACCAATCACATGAATTATTATAATAAGATTAGACCAATCAGAACTTGTGATATAACAAGTTTCTTACCACATCAAGTACATCTGCAAGCTTTGAGAGATCTTGGTTTGGTAGATTTTTAAGCAGCGGAACACTGAATTTGTCAATCATATCTTTATTAGTAATTTAATAACGCTTATATGATATACCTGTGACTAGTTGTAGTGTTTACAAATTATTAAGTGATGTTAAGAATGGTGATGACAATGATGATGAAAAGAGACAAACATCTTGCTTGCATGAATAAGAATACTCGGTTTAAACAAAAAGCTATCCACCATCTCCTTGAAACTTTGTATCTCTATTTATATGTGTGACCAACTGAATACTTGGTTTTGTTTCCGTATTCATCGAGTATTTCAAAATGTCATTCTAGGGTGATAAAGGTCTATGGGGACAATGGTGAGAACAACTGCCACGAAATGGCACTAAAAAATGGTAGCAGTCACAAACAAGATGTCTCAACTGTGATATACAATATCATGATTGTAATAATGATAGACACCTTTTAAGAAATGCTATGTGTTCAGCCTGTCTGATCATTCCTGTCCTCATCATTATCATCTGAAACATCTTTCTGTCAATCTTCCACAGTGTTGTTGGTTCATTAGCTTCAATAAAACATACAAAACTAAAATTATCCACACACCCCTGTGCTATGATGTAAAGGGCATTTCCAGATTCACCCAGCTTAAATTTCATTACATTTGTGTCAATGTTTGAGGCTGAAAATAAAGGGGAAACATTGGATAGTTTTATGTTACCTTTGACAGTAGCTGTTCTTTTGCAGTTGTAAAGAATAGCAAGCTCACCAAACACCATTCCACCACTCATTTCACCAAGGAACTCGTCATCTTTAGTCACACCCAAGCGACCCTCTGGAATTGAAGACATTCTTTAAGTTTCAATTGAAAATAACTCAATCAAAATGTTGAAGATATAGTCAAGTGCGAGGTGCGAGTTATTCCCTTTAGCAATACAAAGATGGTACACTTATATAATGTTTCATTGTACCTTTTCCTTGATTGATGGATGGATGGGGTATAGATGGTTGTATGGGTTCAATACAATAGCAGATGTTGTTTCTTGCAGTGGCAGTGGGAGCCCCACCCTCTCCTAGCCTCTTCCCCTTTCCTTCCTCTACGGCTGTCTCACATGACTTACCTGCTATAACATAAAGGGCATTTCCAGATTCACCCTCTCGTATGATGACTTCGTCTTTATCACATGACTGAGAGAACATACACTCAACGATTTCTCGCACCTGGGCAGGCTCTAGGTTCTTCAAGAAATCATTTTCACAAATGGCATCCTTGATTAGCTGTTTTGACCTATTGTTAAAAAGATGAGTTGATACAAGTCCGTGTAAATGCCTGGTTTTACTTTATTCTTTTTGAATCAATATCTGTCTTGTTATTTAGTCGTGCACCTAAACACCTGTTTAGCCATTTGGTTTTCTTTCCGTTTTTTTTTTTGTTTGTTTGTTTGTTTTGCATGTCCTAAACTTTATCTTAGGGAATTATGGAATTATACCAGCAACTGTTGTGAACTGTTGTCTTTCACGCACAAGAACCAACAACTTTAAAAAAACGTCTTCAGTGGCAGCTAATACAGCACTAAACTAACGATATTGCATCGCAAATTCCTCGCACTTTCTTGTGGCTCTTTAAATTTTAATAATCATTTAGAACTCCTCCTTTTACCGTTTTTCCATTCTTTGTTGGATTAAAAAAGTAGCAGTTTTTTCTTACACATGGAAACAGTCATTATACTGACTAGTTCTTCTGTTTACAAAATATTTGCTTATGGCATACAAACGAAGAACTGGCTTTTTTTAGTCCATAATCAGTCAGAGGTATAGTACTAAAGTCAAATGGCCAGTTTGCAGTTTTTGCGAGATACAATTGCTGTAGAAATTCGCGATAGTTTTCTTGACTTTGTGTAACTCCATTCTAATTTAGTGTTATTGTTTGGAATGGAATATAATTGTCTGAACAAACCGTTTGTTGTTGAAAAACACAAAAGCCAATATATACCGAAGCAACGTTTTACGCCGCCTTTCTTTTTCTCAGTGTAACGACAGTTACTCGTCGATTTTCTCTCCATCTCTTTATACTGAAATATACCCAATTAAAATATTCGCGTTGACAACTTTTTATTAAATTTACCAGAGCACTGTAATGGCTTTTTTGTTAATTGATACTTATTGGAGTATAGAACAACTAAAGTTTAATTGCTATCCTGAACACGAGATTGTTAATGTCGCTTACCATTTCAATACTGTTTCTTCAGTTAAGTCACTTTAGTTAATAACTCCAGTCAAAACAAAACAAACAAATCTCATAGATTAGACAATCGTACAATACCTGAAGTCTTTAGGAAAGCGGACCAAATCTTTCTTCGACTCCTCCTGTGTTTTCGAGCTACTTTCTCCGCTAACTGCTTGTCTTTTCTCCTTTCTACTTATCCGATTTTTTTTCATCTTGGAGCCACTAAAGTCGTGTGAGCTTGACATGACAGAATCTTCATTTATTACAGACATGACACTGAATTTGTTCGCCGTCTGCTGTACAACACACTTCAACTCATGGATTTCTTTTTTTAGTTTGGCGATCTCCGCGTCCTTTTCGTCAAGCGTTTTCATCCTGTGTTTTAATTCGACGTCTTTTCTTTGCAATAGTTCATCCTTTTCGTTTAGTTCTTTACTTAATAAAGGCTGCTGTAGCTTAGAATTGTTTAAATTGTCATTGTTCGTGGATTTTTCAAGTTCTCCATTCGCAAAACCTTCCTTGGAAACTACACCGTTGCCCATGTTGGAACGGAAAAACCGGTTTATGGACAAGGCGCGCGCAAAAAGCGAACACGAACACGGTATATTTTACGTCATTTCTATATTTTTCTGGACGCTTTTTAGTCTTCAAGAAACAATCTTGACCAATAGAACCGCACCATAGTGGTACATATGCAAATTGCATCACGTTGGATTATTTTTGACATTTCCAAGAACATCAACTGGAATCATGTATTTCATTGAGTTACAAGACAATTGTAAAATATAATCGAGTGTTCCGGTCCTCGAAATAAAGAAGAGTTACGAATAGCCTAAAAACTATCCGTATTGAAAGAAAAATTAGTGCACCCTTGTAGTGTCTATAATCCCGTTGTTTTATCAAATGCGTTTGTTCTTGTTTACACAACTGTTTGTTTTAGGGTAGCATAAAGTATGTTCATGCAATGAACATTGAAATGGTTTTGCCAGCATTCAATCAATTTGCGCAAAAATTAAAATGATCTCAACATTTCCAAAAAAAGGGTTTCATAAAAGACGCACATTCACTATAAAGGGAAATTACTTTTTCAATGATTTTTCAACCTTGAATTTAACAGATCAAGACAATTGCTTATCAATTTTTTATTCTCGATAATCTAAGGCAAATCATCGACATTTCAATTCCCTTATTATAAAATATCATTGCGACTATCTATATTTTTATCAATATTTTTATAAAATCTAGTACAATAAAAATCTTGCCCATGTAAAAATCAAATTTGTGCGCAATTTCAGGCCAGTTATAAACCGACTGGTTTTTCTGGCTGTAGATAGTAGAACGGCATGCCATGGCGCACACATTATTTCAAGTGTCACTTTGTGCCTGATACATTGTGCCATATCAATAGAAGTATTAATTTTTTTTTCAGTCTGTCCGGAAATTGTAAGTGCAAATAAATTGTTGAGAAAAAGTTTGTGAGTACCTTAAATTTCAGACATTCAAGACAGATCAATATTAACAGCTGTTTTCAAAATTTCCACTGTTTTGTGTCTTGTTAAAGGAGTTTAATTGTCACTTTGTTCGTCATATCGTCCTTTTATGATGGTATTTAACAATGGGCCAACCTTAAATTGAAAATCAGATGAAGTTTGAAATCATTTATCAAAAAAAAAGACTCTAACTCCATGCTAGCATTAGATGAAGGCAATAAAAAAGTGTTGTAAAATCCTTAGCTATTGGTTGTGTTTCCTAAATGATTGAACAAAGAAGTGAACACCACGGCCACACATTTTGGACAACGATTTTGGTTTCCGCATATTTTTTTAAAATACAAATATACCTGCATTAATTTACAGGAACTGTACTAGTATATCGAATAGTATACAACTGTAAACAGCGTCTCTGGAGATTCCTTTAAGGTGGACAAGTGTGGCACTAGCTGTAAATACAATTTCTCTGAGCTTGTGTGGACGGTGCCAGAGACTAAATCAGAAATCAGAAAATGTTGGATGAGTGATTCTTACCTCTGTATGATTTCCCAAAGCCTCACCAAGCATTCTTTCTATATTTCTCATAATAGCCATCTTCTGTTGTGCTGACAAAGGGTAGGAGATTTTGTCAGGTGTTTGTCCTGCCTGAAGGATTTACAATACAATGCAATATGTCAATCATAAACGTCATGTCAATCAACATTCAGAAAATTATATTTTTACCTTGTACCAAAAGTTTACTGATGTTGTAATGTCACTATCCTTTGTTGATTCAATGTAGTGCCACCTATTGGAATACAAGATAAAGTCACCAAGGGAAGTAGGGAGGAGGAAGTAGGAGGAGGGAGGGGAGAGGGGGGAGAGGACAGGGGGAGGGGGGAGAGGAAGGGGGAGGAAGGAGGTGGTACATACCAATACATAGGAATATACAGCACATCTCCTGGACCAACAATTGCTTCAGAACCACTGAGATTCTTGAATTCAGGGAATTTATCATAATCTGGGTTGTCAAAATCAACCTAAAATATAAAGAATGTTRTGCAAGGTTAAACTAGTCTTGAATATCAATTTGCATTACACTAAAGCAAGAATTGTAAAGCCAAGGAGAACTTCATTCCAAACAAAAATAGAGATTCAAGAATACATCAATGCCATAGCATGAATGTGCCATGTTTTTTGCACATTCATAGGAAATCTCCTCTTTCATTTGTATTGCCATCTAAGTAAGTCTGTCTGAGTTCAGGGACAGGTATCCCAAAACAAAAACAGTAGAGAAAGAGACTGCTTTAAGGATTTCAGGAATATTGCAGGACAAAGAAATCAATCAGTCAGCAATTTTTCATTCTTTTGCATATTTGAAAAAAGGCTGGGATGAGATAGGATCCCACTAGCTCAGGCAGCGATGTATACAAGCTCTATTTATTTATTCACTTACTTGACTCTGTCTGTCACAAGGATGATGAACTGGATATGGATATAAACACTTAAACATCTCTGGATGACAAAGAATAACTCTCTTATAACCTGTCACTTGACAGAAGAAATTTTGTTGCTCATCATAGTGAACTGGAGTTATGTTGCCAGGGAGTCCAATCAGCAAAAGATTGGACGTCAATGGTCCCCATCCCATTTCTTTTTTCATTGTGTTCAACCACTCCCATTTGAAGCCAAGAAAATCCATGACTATGTTTTTCCCAACTTGATCATTTAGCATTTGCTGGAGGTAAATTTTAGGGGAATTTGATTTGATTGAGTCTGCATTAAAACTTTTAACTTGCTTGTAGAAGTCATCAAATTTCATAGTTAATCTCGTAGTGGGTGGAGAAAAGTTTGGCCAGCCCTGGGCTCTTTTTTCATCAAAATACATGAATTTCCATGTGTTTGAAGCATAGACTGAGAATTCCCCTTTTTCCATGTTCTCCTTTAAGTAATCGAGATCCCATTTCAAAGCTGTTCTTACAATATTGGAGTCTGTAAGGATGACTGGTTTCTGTTGATGTATAACAAAAGAGGTGCTATCATTTACATAATATTGCTAGAAATATGCACAGTGAAAATCATAAACTATGGAATTTTATAAATTATCTCAGAAATAGTTGTTCATTGCAATTCCACAAATGCACTGACTTGCTTGATATTAATCTGCTATAGATGCCTCTTTTTGTGTAGCAGCTAGAGATGCTTCTATATGGTAAAATGTCAATATTTTTAGATTTTTTGTTGTTGTGGTCAAGTGATTCTCAATGTAAATAAAAAGCTTCTCATATTCTATACGTATTTGAGCAATAATCAGATGATGTATTATCATTTGATTGGTCGAATACAGATCATTGATGGACGCCAGACAAACGATTACATAGACTGGACAGACAGACAAAAATAAAGAATCACAAGTAGAACTGAATCTGAAACCTGCTCTGAAAATGTACATCCCAAATTCTCTCTTTTCTCTTTCACAAAAAGCGAAAGCAATACAATCACTTTAATTGTATAGAATGATCGAATAATAGCGGATCAACTATTTTGATAATTTTTAATATTTAATCGGCTAATGCATGCATTGATGCACGCGCGGTAGCTATAAACCAAAATAAACTATCTACAAACATGACATCAAGCTTATCCAGTGGCAAAAACTTCGCAGAAACCATACATTTTAAATGGTAGCTAATACTCTAAAGCTCGATGAATAATGAATCAATGCATGGACGAATGACAACAATGCATGAAGGACGCGCGACAAACATAAAGTCTGTGGATGAAATTACGAAATAGTACCTATTTTAACAGTAATGTTACCTCGTTTTTTATTAGTGCATACGCTTTGGGGTCTTCGTAATGCAGACGCGGTATTCTGTCTAAAGGAAAACTGTAATTTTTAACCTGATGACCGTCCAGTTGTGTGAATTTCTCTTTCGCGGAAGCCGCCATCTTCATCTAATGACCCTGCAGTTCTTGTGAACAGCAGATGTTAGTAAACAAACTTGAAACAGTGAACCCAAATATCATTACCGCCGATACAATCAAGATTTTTTTTTCATTTTGTCTGTCTTGAAGTGATTGCTGCCATAATTTTTTTGTCTATCTTTATTTTTTCAATTTCACTCTTTTGTGTCATGCAATATTTTTTTTATATTATTATTATTATTTTTTTACTATAGTGTCTTTTTTGTCGTWAATTCATAGGATGATAGAAAAAAATTGCTTTGAATAAACTAATGAAAAGAATACGGAAAGATGAATTTGAAGCCAGACTGTTGACTGTTATTCTTTTCTGGGGCATGATGTCACTTCTGTCACCATTTCTCCGCCGTCTTCTTTCGTTCGTGTGAGGCCTGGGGCAGAACCTTACAACGTTGCAACAAAATCTTTGAAGTTGAAACAAGAAATTGTTTTTTTTTTGTGGCTTTCTTGACCATTTTGACAAATCATAGATGCCCTTGTCTTGAAGAAGAGTAGAAGAAGTGCTCATTCACAAATATGAAGGAACCATTATCTTGAATAACGCAAAATTCCAGCTGATTTTCATCAAGGCCAGCGAAGTTCCTCCAAGTGACGTGTTTGTAAGCTCTCATTTACAGCATGAAAGTTATACTCTTTTCTGTTGCGGTTTTCGGAATCCATTCTTTATTAGCTTCTTCAAAGGTGGTACAAGGAAGATTATTTAAAGGTGAGAACTTTAATCTAGAAACGCGATTTAAAAAGGAGAGATCTTTTATTTTGTTTCGAAATATATAATTTGGCTCCATAGTCATGTACAAGTCAACATGTACAAGGGGTACACAAGACACATTGCCACGGTTTTTTATATATCTTATCATTAGGATTTAAGTGTTATTCATGACTCATATCTGGGATCTGGAGTGTTATTCTTGTCTTTGTTATATGAATTTATTTTAATTTATATCTAGCAAATCTCCAGTTTCGAAATTCGAAATCGATCGCTTTCTCCATTATAACTTACTTACCTACAACTCGTCTTTCCTCTTTCAAAGTTATTCAATCAAGCGATTTTTATTTCATTTTTTTCTCTATTTATGATAGTGATTTCGAAACGTGTAGTATTGGTTGAAGAACAGTGTAGAATTTTGATATTTATCGCTTGGCGTGGGGTGGGTCTTTCTCGATACATGTCGCGTGACTCAAACAAACAACACACAAAGTTCCAACACACAAAGTTGTTTAACGTCTCTGCAATGTCAATAACATTTAAATTTGTATTGTATTTATTTAAGTTTTAACCTTCCAGGTAATTTTATGTTAAAACTACACTAATGTGTAAATTGCATTAAAAATGAAAGAAAATATATTTTGCCTCATTCTCGTGCAAAAGTGATTAGAGGGTGTCAATATAAGGACACTTGTACTGCCGCCATTATGCCTCACAAACATCTCAGTTGAAAGTAAAGAATGATTTTCTCATCTTTTTAAACTAGAAATGTAGTTAAAAATAAGTCGCATATGGTTTTATCAAACATTGTTCAATGTTCAAACATTGTAGTCCACTTGAGTTTTGAACATTTTATGTCTTTGAGAGTGTCTCAGTAAGAAAATAAATAACCCAGGGAACTAAAACTAGAAGTGTACAGTGTACAAGTTTTTTAGAACTATTTAGTGGTAAATAGTGCTCATCTGCCGATTCAGAGTTTACTAGTATATTCACTTTTGTTTTCACGTCCACAGGTCCATCATTTTGCCTTTTAAGATCTGATGAGGGACCATGCAGGGCATATTTCGAAAATTGGTATTATGATGCCYCATCTGGGGAGTGTAAGAAATTCATTTATGGGGGTTGTCAAGGAAACAAAAATAGATTTGAAACAAAGACAGAGTGTGAAAGAMTATGCAAAGTAATAGACAAAATGACAAAACAATCAGAAGAGAGCAATACTCACAAATCAAGTTTAGACACAAGTTCTCTTTGGGATCAGCACAACATKAAACTATTTAATAAAAAATGGATGACAAGAAAAAGAAGAGCTCTCAGAGAAGACACATCTCAGAAGCAGAAAGGAAATGATGAAGCAAACTCTAAAGGTATTCAAGACAATTTATTTATCTGTTTTTGTAATRCAATGGTATTAAAGTTGAGGCAATAACTTTTCCTCTCTATTACTAACCTATTGCTATTATTAGTGCTATGTTGATCCTGTTTTGTCAATGGTACATATGCTGCTCCCAGCCACCCCTTACAGCCAACATGTAAAAGTGTGGCCACTGTTAATGTATTTGCATACTTTTGTCTTGCTTATTAACCAATAACTACACTGTAGGATTGCTTTATATTGTTTGGGATTTAATGCACCAATTGGATAGAAGTATGCAAATATGATATCTGGCCACACTTTTATTTGTTGCTCAGAAAAGTCTTTAATTATTTTGAGGGTAGCATATATCCTCATTATAATATTCCCTAGTTGTAAGTATAATCTCCACTGAAAGGTATTAGCATAATGTATGCAAAGCAGTGAGCCATGGGTGGTAGTTACCATTTTTATTGCCTGAGAGGTGTCCATGATCCTAATCTGATCTTGTCAGAGTCCTGTGTCCAGAGTCCCTATTGTTATTCAGGATCCTAATGCTCATGACCCTAGTTAGTATCCTGTTCCTATATAGGATCCTATTTAGGATCCCATTTCTAAATAAGATCCTATGGGATCAGACAGGATCCTGTCTATGATTTGCACCAGTGTCTTTGTGTCTTTAGCTCCAAAGCCACCCACAGTCAAAACCTATCAGTGTCAATCAGTTTAACATGAAATCACAATACATCAATACTGTAAATTTTATACTATTTTATTTTTGGTTTATGTGTATTTTTGATTTGATTATTACTTTAGACTTTCAACAAAAGGATCCAGTTCGTGCTATTTTGGGARATACACCTGCCAAACAAAGCAGTGATCCAGCAGCACCCAGTCAAGAGCATTCTGATCCACACAAAAGTGAMAAACAAGTCGGGGATTCAAGGACAAGAAACAAGGGTTTTACAAAAAATCAATCCCACAAAAACGGCAAAAAACCGATTCATGGAGATGGCGATAAAGCTAGCAAAGTAAATGTGGCCCGACAAAGTGCAGGATTTAACCCTGGAAAACAATCACATCAACAGAATGATRGTGGCAATGGTGGATTAGATAATGGTCTCCCAGGTAGAACAAAAATAAAACCACCAGCCTTACCAGTTAACAGTGGAAATGATGAAACAAAGAATGGATTGAATGATAAAACAACTTTCCAGACAAAACTCTCCAAAGCAAAAACTAGTCTCAAAAATGCCTTAAAAGTAACAGAGAATAATGGAGAAGAAAGTAAAACAGAGAATCAAACACCAAAAAGTACTAAAAATGCCGAACAAATAGACCAAGTAGATGATAAAAATAATGATGATAATGATGATGATCATGAGAACAGTACCTTTGACCAAAGACCTAGTAATTCAAGAATAAAAAACAAGAATTCAAATGGTAATAGAAATACTGAACAAGATCCAGCTAATAAAGAAATTGGTAAACCTATGAAACCAATTGACAATAAGAAGGGAGATGTGAATGCCAATAACATTGCTCCAACTCTACCAAACTCTGTTAAAACTACAACACGAGTGTCTAACTCTGATGTCAAAAGTGACAATGTAACAAGATTATTACCAACTATTGCTGTTAAGACAGGAGATATTTTGCCTACCTCGACTTCTAGTGCAAATTCTAGACAAATTGGAGCTTTGCCAAAATCTAATAAAACAAGAGTTTCACAAGTTGATGTAACACCCACACCGACGATTGACAATCAAAATCCAAGAGAAGCAAAGAGTTCTGTTGTGAAAATTAGTCATTCAACAACACAAGCAACAACTGTACCAACTACTGTTAAAAATATGCAAAGTACAAATGAGCCAGTCAAGACTCCTAACAAGAAGACAGATGAGAAACTAACAACAGAATCTTCGCCAACTGCAAGTGAGGAAACAAAACCATCCAAACCTGTGAATAACTCTAAAAAAATCAAGGAGAAGAAACCACATACAACAGCTCTACCATCACMGAGTCAAAAACCTGAGCCAACTGACGGATCTGATGAAACGTCACATACCTCAGAAAAAAAACTAACAGAAACTGCAACAGCTTTACCAACATCAAGTAAAAAAACTGAGCCAAATGAAGGATCTGAGGACAAATCTCAGATCTCAAATCATGAAGACCAGGAAAGCAATAGACAAATAAGACCAATAGGGTAAAAAATTCTATTATTTTTTAAAATGACTGATGTTTGATTTACAATAAATGTAGTCTCAATCAAAATTCTTCCAGTTAAAGGCTCACATGCATTCAAGAACATTTGCAGGCTTTGTTTTGTTTTGAAAAAYGATTTCTTTCTTTCTGATCAGTTTAAAATTAAAGATGGCAATGTATGTTAAAAAAATTGTGCAAAGGTTCTCGGGGACTTTTATGTGAAAATTGTCATCTTTACTTGTATTTATTTTATATATTTTTAATATATTTATTTTGATTGCAATTTCATGTCTTTTTATAGTGAGGAGGTGCACTCGTCAAGTCATTTTGCTGCCTTTTTTCTATCATCCATTGTTGCTGTGTTTGCAGTTTACTTTATTTATCATAACAGACAAAAGGTAAACAGAAGATCAAAATCCTATACATCACATTAAAGATTGTTTAAAAAAAAACAAATTTGAAAAAAATTACACTTTTATAAACTTTTTACAAAGATGAACAAGACTCAGATGCTCCAATGTTGGTTTCAAAACAAAGCAATATTCCAAGCACGATTCAGCTCAGCAACTATTTATAATATACTCAAATCAACACTAGTGAATACTCCATTTTCCAATTCAAARCGAATAGACGCTGTTTTATTTGACAGCAGATTCTCTTATGCAAAGAMCTTACCAAACACAAAAGAAAKCATGAGAAAATGTTGYTWRTACAATAGYGCTRWCAATTTACATTTTCCYCGAGTTGAGGYTAACCCTGTRWTCCCAGAAGGCTCAWACCTWAGGTCTTATTAGAATACAGGGTAAGTCTCAACTCGGGTAAAATGSAAATTTTCAAGGCTATTGTAATAACAACATTTTCTTGTGCTCCCTTTTGTGTTTAGTCAGGTCTTTGCGCAAGAGAATGTGTTGTCAAATAAAGCAGCGTTTTTTTTCGCTATGAATTCGAAACTGGAGTATCTACGAAAAAGTCTTATTAAGTGACAAAGAGTCTGCATCCATCCTTGGTAATAATAGTGTTTTTAATCTCTTCAGATTGTTGCCATAGTCATTGAAGGGCGGACTGTCAGTCCAAGACGTGGAGCAGGATACAGAAAGCTTGAAACCAATGTARAAGAAGCAATGCCAACAATGAAAAGTATGAATACCACCCCATATATCTACTAAGTTTCATTGTTTTTACAGGTACAGATTGTAGCATAACACCATTTTAACCCTACCCCCAACCTCTGTGTTGAATATGTTATGCGAATTTTTATTTAAGAAATATATATAAACACTGTTGGAGTTAAAAAACACGAGAGAAGTAAGCTTAGAAAAACGAGAGTTATATTTCTTTTATAATTTTTTTCTGCGTTTTTCGAGCGAAAAACAAATTTTTGTCTCTGTCCTCTGATGAAACACGGTCGTCAGCCAGTAAGAGCGCTCGTTATATATGATATATTTTATAAATATTGTTTTAAACACAACCAATTATTTTAATGTGAGTTTTATGGTTATAGCTCACTCATTGCTTTTAAGCAAAAACATGTACATGGTATAAAAGAAATTACATTTACATTACATTCACCTAAACTTTTCAACAAACTTACTTSAATGCAGCTTTTGAACATGTTGCAGACGTGCATGCCTATGTTGTTACCAATTAGATCTTAAATTTGACGATTCAAACTTAATCATCTCCTTTTTCTTGACGTGGAATAGACAGCACATTAAAAAAAATGGTATTGTTAGTAACATTCCGTCAAGACCCACCCTAAATTGTTGGCTGAATCCGCCCTTGAATAACAAGGAAATGAAATGTACCATTCATACCCTTTTAGCTCAAAACTTGACGTCTTTAGAAGGTTCGTTTGCTGGTTTGTTTGGTTCATTTGTTGGTTATTTAGTTGGTTTGTTGGTTGGTTTGTTTGTTGCTGTTTCTTTGCGTTTGTTTGTTGGCGAGGTGGATTTGGCTGCTCACAAGTCATTGTCTGGGTGTTTGTATACAATTTAAAAACTGAATCTAATATTTTGTATTTTATTCGCAGAATACGTTGCATAACCAAGAAATACAGATTCGAGAAATAAAGTTAACGAAATTAAGAAAAGTTAATTGTACCTGTGTCCAAGACGCGAAGATTTTATAACATTTTAAGAGAAAATGAAAACCCAATTGCACAAAATCTATAAAAAAAACACGGATATTAAATTATAGTTAGGTAAACTAATTTTCGTAAAATGACAACATAAGATGTCTCGTGTTAGTCACTTCAATAAATGTTGACGTCACTAGGTTTTTTGTTTGTTGGACAAGTCAGGTGACAAATTGTCAACTTCGTCATCATTCATTTTCACAACGAGAGTTCGTTTGGTTTATTTTAAAGTCCAGTAAGTGGGCAATTTCTACGTATTATCGCAACCATTTCTGTTTGTTAGTCTACATATTACGAGTTCTTGTTGTGTTTTTAAGCTTTTCTTTAGTTAGCTCTTRATTTTATATGAAAACTGTCATTGGTTTCTTTCTTGCTTTGAATTTCCAGAAGTAACCGTAGCCAGATTGCTCCTACTCATGTATTTTATGAAAGTGAACTATTATAAAATGYGACGTCGAGCCTTCTTTACAAGACTCAAAGGCAAAATTAAAAGCATTAGCACAGATGCAAACGCAAAAAATGAACATTTACCTGGCTTTTTATGATTGCGTTTGTAYTTGCGTTTGTGATTGTGAATTGTCTTGCATTTGATTTGATGTTCGTGTGTACAAGCCTCCTTCTCAGACTGTACAACGAAACTTTTTTGATTTAAACAAGAGGGAAACGTTTTCCCAAAAAGCAGTAGTCATTAGTAGTAAGAAATTACATCAAACCTTCAGATTTTCCAACGCGAAAATAGTAGCAGTCGGAAAACAAGAAAAATAAGAGTGAGAGTTTATTCAAGGCACGGGTAATGATATGTAGTTTTTATATATTTATACCTTGTTGTAAATTAATAGTAGAGAAGTTGCTGTAAATAAAAATTCTTTAAATGCAAAATTTCTTGTTGTGCATGAACTGCAACAAGCGCTGAGGAGCAATAAAAGGGGGATCTTCGGAGGAATCCTTGGCGTCAATACTGAAAAAAAATAACACAGTGCAAGCAAAACAATGATATTGAATCAAACTCCTCCCCTTCTCAACCAACAGTGGAATGGTGCAGCCCCCAATCATTATATGCAATAAAAATATCATTCACGGTTGCATAACTATTACAATTTGCCAATAAAAAAGAAAKGCAAATTGTTGGATTTAAAGCCGCACGAAATGAACAAAATGCATCGAATGAGGTCAATGAGAAATTTGAAAAAAATAGGAAATCGCATCTTCGCTCCGCCTTTATGACTGACATCCTTTCGTTTAAGGTTAAGCGGGGAATTTCCGGAGTATAACATGATAAAACATAAATATCCCAATGCAAAGTGTGCGTCAGCTATCCCAGAAATTCAAAATGGCGTCTCGGCAGCGAGGCTGCACGCGGTATCATACTACGCATGCTCCGATAGATCCGGGGTTTTCCGAGGAAATCTTTGTAATGGCGGACACGATGTCTTGAATCAAGTCGATATATAGACACATTTTCGCATTTCCTGAACAACACAAAGCAATACTATGCTTTTAGATCAACCAGAATACTGCAAAATACATCGATAAACGTTATTATAAAATGTCTGTACACCAGCAGTCAAATTCTCTGCCAAATTCAAGCGGAATGGTGAACAACCAAAGGTCGCCGTCCATTTCGGAATCAGATTCGGATGAAGAAGATGACTTCGATGATGAAGGCATCAATAGCTCCGCGGTAAGTCGTCATTTGATTAAATTGATAATTTTAAAATAAAGAACGTGTTTTAATCTACTATATGTATCACCAAGAAGGCTGTATGATGCCCAGAAAAGCAAAAATAGTAAAGACTTTGTATGATGACTTCGATTGAATATACATTAATATTAACACGTCGTACCCTTGCGATCGACTTCTGACGAAAAATATTTGTTTAGAGAGAAAAATGCAAAGAGTCATATATTTTTTCTTCCAGATATTCTTAAAAATATCTGTTGATAGTGATTGCCAATATGTCCTTCATTTAATTTAGAAAATATCACTTAGACGAGTCTACGGCGGGAAACCTTTTCGTGCAAAGTCGCCACTTCAACGTCATAAATTTCACCATTTKTGAGATTTTTTCTCATTTTCTAATGCAGTCCTCGTTACTAAGAGATCCCCGATCGTTACACCTTTTAACTGATTATCGTTTACGAAATGTGAATTCAAAATCAACAGCGAATTACTCATAATTTGCCCTTGAACTTCTCTCGCCAAGCTCTTCTGATCCGTGATGGTTTCTCACTTTCTACGTCCATTGTGATCAAAATAACCAACAAAACAACACTTTATCACTGAGGCGTGTGTTATATTACAGTCATTATAGACATCTAAGGCACGGAAATGACTCTCTAGTTTTCCTATTTATTATTTTTGTACAAAATATCGGTTTTCGGACATATATTTACTCATCCATGCTGTCCAAGATGGAAGTCTTCATTGACTGCGTCTTTGAAACACAACTCATGACACGTGCTAATATGAAGTCTTCAAAATATCTGGCCTGTAAAAACTTGTCTTAGATCATTGTTTAAAKTAGGAAATGTAATTTTTTGCGATTTTGTAGCACAAAGTCAAAATCATATGACGGCGTTTTGTCCATCATTGTAAATATTCCTCCCACGTTATATAATATCTAGCTACGTCAGTTGTGTGTATACAACCAAACAGTTTGTCAGTTGTTTCTTGTATTTTTTAATTCGGTTAATAAATTTGGCAAAGTCCATAAAACTTCATTAATATTGTTAAAATTAAGTTTTATTAAATTTGGTATATGTAAAAATTATGTATTTTAAGATTTTTTTAGTTTTCTCTATGGTAAAACCATGTTTATTGATGAAGTCAAACTCTTATTTTCGTGATAATAAATAATTGGTTTTAAGAGAAGTAATTACAGCATAATTTGTCTTTCAATACAGCAAATTCCATCCTCCTTTTGAAGTATTTATTGTAGGAATATTATAGCTTTTTCTTTGGTATTGAGGCCATGTTTACACCAGAGCAGACTATCATGGATTTAACCCAAACCCAGATTTAGTTGTTTCCATAGATCCTGTGTTTGTATCCGTTTATACTTAATATAAAAATCACAGAGAATATTTAGTCACATTTGTATTGCATACTCTTATGTTCTATTCAGAATGACTCCTCAAATTTCTTTAAAATTGCAGATAGCTGTCAATTAGATTTAACGCTTTTTTGAATGTTCACTGTTCCAGATGGACTTTATATTAAAATCTAAAAGAAATGAACTCACCTCAAAGCTTATGTTATCTGGATCTGACGGACTCAGTAAGTATGACCTACACAAGATGGACCCAGAGACTCAGGCGAGACTTGGTGCTCTTTTCGAAGCTGCAGGTGAGAAACTGTTAAAATTTTGGTCTTTTTTGGACAGTCAACTCCTGCCTTGTGGACACCTTAACACTACAGACATCCCTTAAATTAYCAAAAATAGCTATGCTGTGCAGATAAAAAATGCAATAATTTAATCATTAATACCAAGTTTTGTGGTTACTACGATCYAATACAAGTAACCACTATGCTATTGTTATGTGAGAGAGTAAATAACAATGATATATTTATGTAGGTATGGGTAAGCTGGCTGATGGAAAGGTCTTTGCTGATCCTGAAGTGTTGMGGCGCTTGACATCTTCTGTCAGTTCAGCTCTTGATGAAGCTGCTGCTGCCCTTACTAGAATGCGGGCTCAGAATAGTGGAGTTCCATCGTCACCTAACCACGCTGTCGATACAGGTTAGAATAAACAAATTAATAATAAAGTGATTTTGCATCAGCTGTAAAACTTAAATGACTATTTAGTCTCCATGCATCATAWTATACACTTAATGACTGTTCCCAAGGGAAACGGTTAGTTTTGTTTCCCGAGAATCTCAATGTTTCCCTAGGTACGCGTAATCAGTCAACAGTTGATTTTAGCTCCRGACACGTGACACAGAATCGTCCAATAAGAGAGTGAGAAAACAGTGAAAATAATTTACCAATATAAAAATAGCTATGGTAAACTTAACATGCAAACCAAAACTAAAAAATGCACAGTTCTGTTCATTAATGGAAAGTTATGTATGACGGTGACACCATATGGATTGCATTGCATTGTGGTCTAGATTCCGTACAAACATCTTTTGTTCATACTGCCTATAAATGGCCAAAGCTAGACCACAATGCACCATGATTTTGTATTTCAAAAAAGGTCTATGAGGGCAACATAAGACATTATTAGCGAACCTTAACCTGTCTAGTTGACACCATATAAAACAYAGGGTTCTCARTAGAAATGAAAGTAGACGTCAAAATAGGAAAAGTAACCGTCAAAATATGAAATGTACAGCCCGAATAATTTGTGAATAAATTTGTAAGTAGCCGGCGACTAACTAAGCTATAACTKGCGATTTTTGCCGGCTGCYGGCTTCTACTACAATAAAATACCATTGTCTTTGCTCACTTATATGAAATCTGYTTTGATTGCAATTATGCTAACAATCTTTGGTCATGTGGCATCATTTTGCAGGAGCTCGCAGTCTTGCTGAAGCATGTCTAGAGGGAGATGTTGGTGCTGTTAAGAAACTRCTAGAAGAAGGATGGAGTGTGCATGAACCCACYGATGAGGGTGAGAGYCTGCTTTCTCTTGCTTGTTCTGCAGGTAAGTGACATAAAACATTGATCAAACATTATAGAGGGAAGGGTTTCTTGATTRTCACTATAATACTTTAAAGGGCTACTTGGACGAAAATTGCGAAATATTAGAAAAGACTTGGAAATCAAATAGAACTATCCATATGGGTGTAATAATTATGAAGCAACAGATTTCAAGAAAATATTCATGCAAATCCTTAATAATTTGGGCAAAAAATGTTGGAGTAGATGACGTCATCTACTCAATCCCTTTGTTCTTCCATCTTTTGAATCAAAATTTCTCTGATGTGGGATAATTCCAAGACAAATATTTTCACGCAATTGTTTTTAATAGATATAAATGATTCATATATTTGTATTGCTTGAAGTTTTGAAATAAGGCCATTTTCATGCAAGTAGCACTTTAATGTAGCAATGTATTTATATTGCAAATAATGATGAAAGCATTCCTTGTTAACAAAATGAATCATYTTCTAGGCTACTATGAACTTGTCCAGGTTCTCTTAGCCATGGAAGCAAGCGTAGACGAYCGAGGTAGCAAAGGTGACTGTACCCCACTAATGGAAGCAGCAAGCGGAGGCTATGTAGAGATTGTAAAACTTCTACTGGAAAACACTGCTGAYGTGAATGCTCAGTCRCAAGCGGGCAATACTGCATTGATATACGCATGCTGTGGTGGGTTTGAGGATGTCGTAAAGATATTGTTGGAACATGGTGCCGATATCGAGGTGCATAATGAAAATGGCCACACCCCTTTGATGGAGGCCGCCAGTGGAGGACATGTGGGCGTGGCAAAGCTACTACTGGAGAATGGAGCATGTATYAATTCACATTCCAATGAGTTTAAGGAGAGTGCATTGACTCTTGCTTGCTATAAAGGTAAGTGACAGCTGTCAGTTACTTATTTTATTGGTATCTTACGTTGTGTTTATATCCATAACAGGAAAGTGGAGCATAGGCTCTCASTTTTCMTTTTRGTGAATAACATGGAATGAGGTGGGGGGTACTATAAGGCAAAATTCCCACTAKTACACATTATTACACTCCAAATTGTTACACAGGTACCCCTGGCCTGAGAATTAAGAAAATTATCCTTAGTTGACATTCTTTCTCATTCCTTATAAGGTCATCTTGACATGGTCAAGTTTTTATTGGATGCTGGTGCCGATCAAGARCACAAGACTGATGAGATGCACACAGCATTAATGGAGGCTTCCATGGATGGACATGTTGAAGTGGCACGTTTGTTATTAGATCATGGAGCACAGGTTAGACATTTCATTACRATATTGTTAACTGATTATCATGAAAGTTACCTACCTTTATAAAGCCATAAATGGAACTTCTGCTCAGGAACTTAGACTATCATACTCGAGTGTATTACACTGTAGATAAACAAGGAGACAACAAAAGTATCAAGAGGTTCTGCAATTGCATTAACAATAAAACTTAATARTTTTATTAAGTAACCAGTGATTATCTTATCAATAATAATGATTTTTATCAGCTACTGACTACTATTGAGAACCCTCCACACTCATGTTGAATGTYRTTTCTGTYAYGAATTAATGWCATTTCTATTGATKTGTTAATTYTTCTATCAGGTAAACATGCCTGCAGAYAGTTTTGAGTCTCCTCTAACCCTTGCTGCCTGTGGTGGCCATGTGGAACTGGCTGCTTTAYTGATTGAACGAGGTGCCTTCCTGGAAGAAGTKAATGATGAAGGGTAAATATTATGGTCATCTTATAGGCCTTGAAAAGCTAACATTAAAACCCCCTAAACAAATCACTATGATATTATAATTTCAGGTATACTCCGCTTATGGAAGCAGCAAGGGAAGGACACTTAGAAATGGTTGCTCTTCTTCTTGAACATGGTACATAAGCATAACTTTTCTAACACAACTTGTACTTTAATTGACATGTCTTATATTCTCTATGCATGCATCACACTTATATATTATTTATATTTTGCTTTGTTTGAGACTAGTCTAAAGTATTGTGTGTTTTTTAAGGAGCTGATATACATGCCCAGACAGAAGAGACTCAAGAAACTGCCCTGAGYCTTGCTTGCTGTGGTGGATTCCAAGATGTTGCTGCCTTCCTACTCCAAGCAGGTACTGTAATTAAGAAGTCTCTGATCAASTGTTCTCTKGTGAATTCTGATTAAGTGTTCTGGTATGCTCTTTTAGGTGCTGATATTGAGCAAGGTTCATCTACACCTCTTATGGARGCTGCACAGGAGGGTCATGTAGAGCTTGTWAAGTTCCTCCTTGAACAAGGTTTGTAATTATTCATTGTAAGTTTTACTTTTTTATTCTTCCTCATTTCCCTTCCCCTTCTGAGTGACATTCTGAATGATGTGAATGAATCGATGTCATTTGTTCTTACTTTTCATCCATTCGTTCCCAATAAATATTACTGATGTGTTTTCATTGTTGTTGTAGGTGCCAATGTTAATGCTACSACTGCTACTGGTGATACTGCGCTGTCTTTTGCTTGTGAGAATGGTCACACAGATGTAGCTGATGTACTGCTACAAGCTGGTGGAGACTTGGTTAGTATTGRTAAAGCAAGGCGTATATCCATAGCCATATCCAAGTTCATAAAACAGTGACTCTGAATTCAGACTTGCATGCTTATTRTTTTGAATTACATTTGGTCACTTGTATCTTAGGATATGAATATGAGGACCRCATGGCACTATGATAGAACAGATATAGAAATGAAAGAAAGTTATWGTGCTTWGAAGGAGGTAATTTCGGGAGAAAGACCCTTAGGAATAAATTYGGARAAATTAATTTYCGACCTCGTTGGGAAATTAATCACTCGGAAATTAATTTTTCYGAATTTTCCTAAGGGTCTTTCTCCCRGAATTGCCTCCTTCTAAGCACTATAWCTTTCTTTCATTTCTATATCTGAATCTTAGGATTTYGGTTTTAGACYRGGTCTTACAATACATTCTTTGTTCTTCCAGGAGCACCAGTCAGAGGGRGGTMGAACACCACTTATGAAGGCAGCAAGAGCAGGACACTTGTGCACTGTTCAGTTTCTGATAAGTAGAGGTAAATAAAATCAATACATCATCAATATTAGAAATCAACCTTAAAACTATTCATATCTATGAAATCAAGGTATAATATTATCTTTCCAAGAAGTCCCTTAATGATTTGGTTTTGTCTTTTGTAATTATAAAACTTTTACTAAGTCAAACTTTGGTTGGATTTAGGTGCTGATGTAGATAGAAGGACAACTAATAGTGATCATTCTGTTCTGTCATTGGCTTGTGCYGGAGGTCATTTAGCAGTAGTAGAGTTACTGTTAGCGCATGGTGCAGATCCATACCAYAAACTAAAGGTWAGTGTACAGTAGCACTTCATCAAACTGCAAATTGTGAAACAAATATGGTCAAAAAAATACTAATTCTGTTATTTCCTTTGTTTCCTATTGCCTAATCAGTGGTAATTAGTATTAATCAGTACWAGAGTACAAAYACTAAAACTRTGCAACAYAAATACCACTAAATACTGCYAAATTATGCTAATTCTATTGTTTTCTATTGTTTRATTAACACTATTTTGTAGTAAATAGTGGAAAGTGTTGCACACATTTAATGTTTGTACTCTAACTATTTCACAGGATATTAAAACACTGTTATATTTCCTGATGTTTCTTACCATTGTCTCTTTATATTGCAGGATGGTTCAAATATTCTAATAGAGGCAGCAAAGGGGGGTCATGCAGCAGTCATCTGCTATCTTCTTGAAAACCCAATCCCAGGAACCCCCCCTGATATGCAGTTATCCTCTATGCCAAGTTCCATGTGTGCACCATCTGTACCACCTCCACGTGTCCCCCCAGTTCATCCTAGTCAGCCACCACTATTAGAACACCCTGAGCTGTCTGATTTAGGTGCTTTTGGTCCYGAAGCTGTAGCCCTTGGTCAGTTACCTATTGCTCCACCCACGTCCCCATTGTATAGTCTTCAAGAAGCGTTAATGTTTCCTGACATGCCAACAACATCATCAGCTATTGCCCCTACCTACCCATCTGTTAGCCAATCACTGTCCAGTATGTCAACACCTAATACTCACGTAACSTCCACTGCAGTCCAGACGGAYAACAAAGTGATCACTGAGAAACTTCAACTGATTCAAGGGAAGCTTGCTAAAGCTTTGAAAAATGCTAATATTTCATTAGACTCTGGTGTATTCCCTCAGGATTTGCTACAAAATGTAAAGGAAGAGATTAACCAGTTTGATCTTGAAGGTGACGATGGTCCTGTACCWCCACAACCATTCTTGATATCTAGTGGAATAGGAGAGCTTACACCAGCACAACTTGAAGGTTTAATGGTTGCTGAACCAGCACAGACCCTTCCTGATGCTATAGATATGCTGTCWGATGGTATGAATCTTGTTATTAATAGAGTGCAAGTACCTAAACATTGGATCCTAAAAACAGTTGCTCTCAATCTTCTCTGCTTCAAAGYGATTTAATAATTTTTTGGTGACAGAACAAAATGTT